TACAAGGACAGGGCAGTGGTACAAGGACAGGGCAGTGGTACAAGGACAGGGCAGTGGTACAAGGACAGGGCAGTGGTACAAGGACAGGGCAGTGGACTACGTCCAGAGATGATCGACTTAGTGGTCAGGATCCAGGTGCCCGTTGTCAGTGACCAGCGGCCACGCACTTTGGATAACGGCAGGTGTTACCTCGGTCCTGACTCCAAAAATATTGTCGGCAGCGGTTTTGTGGTGCAGGTTCACGGTCCATGTGATAGCCGCTATAAACCCTGTTGGTGTGAGAACTGTCCCCAGGGGACGGCTGGGTACACCTACTGGAAAATCAAGATTGCTTCCGTCCGCCATATTGTTTATAATGATGAGGAGGCGAGAATTTGTAAAGTTGTCTTCTTTGATGATCGGGAAGACGGAAGTGGGAGTTGTACTCTGACTGGGGCCGAGGGTGTACTGTATACCGACACAAAGGGGGACAACTGTGAACTGATGTGTTACACCCATGACGAGGAACTAGGTCACAGACTGGAGGGTCTCAGGCTAAGTCTTAAACGACGAGAGGCATTGTACAAAACAGACGGGACACGTGAGGTAGTGAGGGAGAGGGATGATGGGACACGTGAGGTAGTGAGGGAGAGGGATGATGGGACACGTGAGGTAGTGAGGGAGAGGGATGATGGGACACGTGAGGTAGTGAGGGAGAGGGATGATGGGACATGTGAGGTAGTGAGGGAGAGGGATGATGGGACATGTGAGGTAGTGAGGGAGAGGGATGACGGGACACATGAAGTGATGAGGAAGAAGAATGACGGGACAGTTGAGGAAGTGAGAGAGAAGAATGACGGGACACGTGAGTTTTTGAGGATGCTGCCAGACAGGACATCTATGACAGTGAGAAAGCTGCCTGATAGCATACTTCAGGGACGTAGATCTTGGCACGACGAGGTGTCTAAAGATGTACACAGGCCGCCTGGCGGGGAATTCGAGGTAAAGATACGTCTGCCTCGCGATACAATAATGGAGCGTCTACTGGACAGGAAAATATCTACATCTGCTCCTAGCTTTTCGGGGAAGGCAAATAGCTTTGGAATTTTATGTATACATGTATGTATATTTAGATTATGTAAATATATGT